ATATATGTAATAGATTTCCTCAGCACTGAGCTCAGGAGTTTCCTATACAGTGTTGGAGTAGGAATATATGTAATCGCTTTCCTCAGCACTGAGCTCAGGAGTTTCCTATACAGTGTTGGAGTAGGAATATATGTAATCGCTTTCCTCAGCACCTGAGCTCAGGAGTTTCCTATACAGTGTTGGAGTAGGAATATATGTAATCGCTTTCCTCACCACCTGAGCTCAGGAGTTTCCTATACAGTGTTGGAGTAGGAATATATGCAATCGCTTTTCTCAGCACCTGAGCTCAGGAGTTTCCTATACAGTGTTGGAGTAGGAATATATGTAATCGCTTTCCACAGCACCTGAGCTCAGGAGTTTCCTATACAGTGTTGGAGTAGGAATATATGTAATAGATTTCCTCAGCACCTGAGCTCAGGAGTTTCCTATACAGTGTTGGAGTAGGAATATATGTAATCGCTTTCCTCAGCACCTGAGCTCAGGAGTTTCCTATACAGTGTTGGAGTAGGAATATATGTAATCGCTTTCCTCAGCACCTGAGCTCAGGAGTTTCCTATACAGTGTTGGAGTAGGAATATATGTAATCGCTTTCCTCAGCAGCTGAGATATATTCCTACTCCAACACTGTGCTCTATTCCATCGACTTCATTACCACTAAAGTTTGTGATTATGTAGTAGTGCTTCAGTTCAGAGAAGGCATATTATTTTCCTCAAGTGCCTCTCACCTGAGCGGCAAAGCTCTCTTTCGAGTTTTCGCGTATAAGAGTTGATGTGATGCTGCTGATGCTCCTTCTCCTTGCTAGGCCCGATGCACATATCTCGTTGTATGTTACAGTCAGCAACATCAGCAGCACCACAGCAGTGGCGGTGTGGGAAGAGCTTCTGTACGAGTAGTGATAAGAAAGATCGAGGCCTTACGTATAAGAGGCCACCAGAGGCTAATCAACCCGTAGTAGTAGTAGTAGTAGTAGTAGTAGTAGTAGTAGTAGTAGTAGTAGTGGTAGTAGTAGTGGTAGTAGTAGTAGTAGTAGTAGTAGTAGTAGTGGTAGTAGTAGTGGTAGTAGTAGTGGTAGTAGTAGTAGTAGTAGTAGTGGTAGTGGTAGTAGTAGTAGTAGTAGTAGTAGTAGTAGTAGTAGTAGTAGTAGTAGTAGTAGTAGTAGTAGTAGTAGTAGTAGTAGTAGTAGTGGTAGTAGTAGTGGTAGTAGTAGTAGTAGTAGTGGTAGTGGTAGTAGCAGTAGTAGTAGTAGTGGTAGTGGTAGTAGTAGTAGTAGTAGTAGTAGTAGTAGTAGTGGTAGTAGTAGTGGTAGTAGTAGTGGTAGTAGTAGTAGTAGTAGTGGTAGTAGTAGTGGTAGTAGTAGTGGTAGTAGTAGTAGTAGTAGCACATGGTCAACTACATGTGTAGGAAGCATTTGTGGAAATTTTGAGGAAACTCCTCGATGGTTTCTGTACACTTCTACTATCCGACTCTGTATATAACTTTTATAATCAGCGAGGAAACTCCTGAGCTCAGGTGAGGAGAGCGATTACATACATTTTATGATTTACTGATCTACTACCACTCCTTCTCCGATTCTCTTCTCTCAGTGGGCCCCCTCCGACGATCCTAATAAGGTGTATTCTGCGAATAGCATACCTCCATCTGTCGTTGAGAAGGCTAAGGAGAGCGATGCCTGGCTGCCAGTGCGAGATCCCAACTCTGGTGGCATGTAAGGAGCGTATTTTTTTCTGTTTTTTTCGTTGACGAATAAGAGTTTTGAGCTGAAACTTCAACAGGATATAGTTATTATCATCATACATCACATGTTGAGTCGAAACGGTCATGTTCGGAACGGTTACTGATATATCATAGCGAGCGAAATAATGACCCCCGCGAACCGTGCAGATTCCTTAGGCAACACAACTTGATCTCGTTAGGAGTTGTCTTACTGCAAGAATACAATACCACCTAGGTCCTGGGTTCGAATCTTAGTAGAGGCTTTTTTACAGTTACTGGTGGCATCCAAGATCCAATGCTACTACTCCTATTGGTAGTGGTAAACCAGAAACCCTTATGAGGGCGTTAGGTTAGTTATAATAAAACAGATTTATCATCGATTCTGGTATTTTCTAGGTAACAGTGCTATGTTCGGCGCTGGTGCCGCGATGTTCTTCGCGTTGCTCTACAGAGTCTTCGGCATGTGAACAGTTCGATTCGAAATACTAGTTGCTTACGATTTTCCTTTTTTTGGTTGTCTCTTGTTGTTGTGATGAGGGGGAAATTCTTAGAAAATTTTTATTAGATGTGCGCCGATAATTGAGTCTCCGGTTACTCTGAGGGCCCTGGCAAACGGGTGATCTCAAGGAGTGATCACGTGATTACTAGGGGACCATGGACCCTCCTGGGAAGATTGCACAACTACGACATCTTAGCTTAGCTGGAAGCTACTTGATGGTCTTATGAGTACGATTGTAGATAGAATCTCTAGATTCCATCAACCATTGCCTTGAGCTCCCAAATAGTTAACATGGTGGAGAACCCGTTGACAACTCCCTCAAGTCCCGTTAGTTTACAAATGGTTAACATATTCCCCACAGAACGATTATTCTCCAAGGGCAGCAGGAAGGCTTCGTTTATCTTCATGTTTGAAACTTAACAAAGTATTTTCTACGGCATTTCCAGGTCAAATTAGTTTTGTTGGTATTTCATTTTTGAAGCAATGGATAAGATGTTAACGAAAAGAATGAAAAATTAAATTTGTCGGTAAAAAACTAAGTCGATCTGAAAATTTGCTGTAGTCTCAACTAGAGGATATTGAGGTCGGCGATGCTATCTGAGTGGCCTTCTAGATCGCCATAGTAGGAGTATTGTTGCTGTCGGAGGCCTCAGGTGAAGTGGAGCATGCGTAAAACCAGAGAGCTCCTCCATGAGGGAGAGTTATGCAAAGCCCCCCCCCCCTATTCTGCTTTAGTTTGCATATGTCGTCATCGCTGTGTTAGTCCGCTCTGCTCATTCTGGCGTTCATCAATGGTCACTGGGCATCATTTCTCAGCTTCGCTCCGCCTTTTTTTCTCCACTTGGTTAACAACCTCACCGATGGACCACTCCTCAGCGGTTCTCGATGCATATATCACCCTCACGTATTCTCATCATCTTGTAAAATTTTCG